CTTTTATCTGGATGACTGTATATATAGATTCTTAGTCTATGTTTTTGTTGATTTCTATTTTGGGCTATATATAACTTTACATTTAGCTACTTTTATCGTACTTTCTACTTTTTATTCTCTCTTTTGGTCTATATATAAAGTTACATTTCTATATATATTCATCGCCTGTAGTATATTCTACTCCCATATTGTACATATTCATTGTACTTTTCTATTTTCGCAAAAAAAAAAAATTTGTTTTTAGCTTTGTAGTTAGGCTCGTAGCCTCTTGTTTTGTTTTTGAAGCTTCCAATAAGCCCTTGGTTTTCTTAATGCCACGATTCTTTCGAAGGGTGGAGTATTGTGCGAACCGGGTGGCTCTTCCCAATGATAGATGGCGTGACAACCTTCTTAAGGGTTTGAGTCCGTTTCTTTGATTTTTCTTTTGTTTTTGATAGTTGTAGTTAAGGGTACCTCAAGCAAAGCTTCACTTGGGCCTAGCACATTTTCCTTTGATTCCATGGTCAAAGACATAATTTTGTGTTCAGGGTGGTGAAAGTCATGGCTTTGAGACTCTTGCATTGACCAAACAATCATCATGTGGTCTTTTCGGACCATTGTGTGCTTGAATCGTAACTAAGGTCGTTGTGGGCCCTCGACTCGATGTCTTTAGCAATCCCTTAGCGTGTGTGGTAAGGAATCGAAATGTAAGTCCAAGTCCCGAGCCAATGGTCTAGAACTTGCCCTGAATGTTTGTTGAGGCGAAATCCTAGGTGAAATTTAACTTGAGAAGTGATTATAGGCTCTCCTTGATCCAAATGTTAAGTTGAACAATTCCATAGCCTCCCAATGAGATGATCCCTAGTTAACCCTTTTGAGCCTTAAACCTTTTTCTTTCAATAACCAATGCTACAAGCCTATACCCGTTCTAAATAATTACCCTCTCTTGGCACCCAAATCTTCCCTTGAGTAATGGCAAATGTCTAAGTTTGGGGGGAGAGACAAGGAAGGAAGCAAAGTGGTAAAAAGGTACAAAAGCAAAAGAAAAGGAAGGCAATGAAAAAGCAAGAAAAGAAAAAGACAAAAAGAAAGTCCAATGTGAACAAGAATAAAAAGGGATTCAAGGAAAACAAAAGTGAAAAGGTGTGGAAAAAATTAGAAAAACGAGAAATGTTTTGAATTGCATAAGAAAGAGTGACAATGTGTCTGTCTAACCCCGTGTAAAGAAGTGAAATACTCAAAAGAGTCAAGAGAGTTGTGCCAAAATGAATCAAAAGAATTTCTTAAGGGAAGATTGAACCCACTTGAATAAAAATAAGTCCTAACCTTACCCAAAAGCCTTCACAATGACTCCACAAAAGCTCTATTTGATCTTAAGTTGAAGGGAGCCTACATTAGTGGATACATACATAAGGGGCAAGCATATGGTACTTAGAGCCGGACTTGTGACCTTATTCTTGAGAGAGATGAGTGAAATTCTATTAACCTCGGTTTGTGTGTCAATACTTAAAAGGTGAGGTTCGCTTAGGGAGAGTTGAGGATGTGGGAGTTTGGGTTCCACAATGACCAAAGTAATTGAGAGAAGTTCTTTGATGAAATGTGTCAACTCTTGATGCTCTTGTGTCACACTTGATCCATAGTTTTCAAAGTTTAAATGTGTTAATGATGCATTCGTATTGAGGGCAATTGTTAGTCCCAATTGATGCTTGTTGAGGTTACTTTAGGATAGCTGGAATTACTTGGATTTTCCTTTAAAGGGTGGGTCTTATTTTGTTTGCTTGAGGACAAGCAAAGGTTTAAGTTTGGGGGAGTTGATAAGTTAGGATTTTAACGTGTTTTATGCCCCTACTTACTCTTTTAGTATAAATTGCTATAAAATAGTCCCAAAAAGGCTCACAGGTTGTGCTTGATTGCAGGTTTGAGTGATAAAGTGACGAAATGTCCAAGATCGGCTCAAAAAGGAGTGAAACCTGCTCAAGTATCAAAGACCAAGAAATTCAAGAGGAGAAGGCCTAGTGCGGACCGCACAAAAGTGACTGCGGCCGCACTAGGAGGTTTAGAGACATGGTTATTCAGGCTGAAGTTCACGCGGCCGCGGTAGGATTTTCGCGGTCCGCTGTAAGGCTGTGCGGCCGCACTACTTATTTGTGCGGTCCGCGTCCAGAGATTCAGAGAACCATTTTGCCAAGACCCTACCATGCGGGTCGCGGTCGTCACCGCGCGGTCCACGCTAGAGCCCCTCCGCCCGCACTACTTATTTGTGCGGTCCGCGTCCTCCAGTTCAAAGAGCTTAAAGTTGAAGTCAAAAGAGCCAGTGCGGCCGCGGTTGCTTTTGTGCGGCCCGCACTGACCCCGCAGGGGTATTTTTCTCTAGTTTTTCCAGCCTAGTATAAATAGGACATTTTACTATTTTTAGGTCAAGTTTTGTATTCAGAAACGCAGCTGAGCTCGTGAAACCGATATTGTAGCCATNAGTTGATTTTGTATTTTTATTCAAGGATTGGTGGTTGCAAACACTGATTCAAGCTTTGTGAGTTTAACTCTTCTTGAGAAAGAGAGTCTATGACCCCAAAATTGACCCAACAAGGAATTGGTATGGACCCATGAGAAATGGTAGTCCCAATTAACGGGTTAATTTTCGAGAGAGTAATCACCCTACTTGAACCCTAGTTGTTGGTCTCACTGGCCTACCCAATTGGTCTCGAGAGAGTCAATTGGCAAAATCACTCTCTCTACCGAGAGGTGTGAGAGTGGGTGCAATTGTACAACTGTTATAGCATAATCCCCAAATATGTCAATCTATCCTTAGTCACATCTACCCGTCAATTAGCCACCTAGGTGATGCTACGACCCTAGTGCCCTTCTTCCCATTAATTACAACTTAGCAATATTCTCTTAGCATAATTTAGCTTTAATCCTTAGTTTTATAATAGTAGGTATAAATATAAAAACTCAAAAAATGTTTGAAGTGACATTAGAAGCACAACCGCAACTCTAAGCTAGACATAAAATACAACCCCACTACTAGCTCCCTGTGAAAATTCGATCCCGGACCTCTAGTCGGGTAAAAGCTATTGCGACCCGCTCTTCCTACCTTAGTGTAGCGTCGAGTTGGCTGTGATCACTTTTCCTGCTGTGGCTGTGGCTGTGATCAACCATGACATTAATGATGACATATTAAACCATCTCCTAGTTCAGAAGGGAGTAGGTTCGCACCACAACATCATCAGTTTGCAACATTTCAAACTCATTCCTCACTGGAATAACAACCTCCACTAATTGATTCACAGGTCTTCCATATATTTCTTTGGTTGTCTTCCCTTTCAATATCTATTTCTCCTGGCTCGTGGATCTATCTCTTCATTTACCATAATCTCTTTTGGCTATTGTTCCTGTTTTGTGACATCTACATAGCTAATCTCCTGCTGATCATGATGAGATTAATATTGAGGATTTTATTTGATTATATTTCGGGTGGTTATTGTATTTTATTGAGTAATTTGGTGATAATTTTATTAGAAAACTCGCGTTTGTGTTTTGTTGATGCGCATGCAAGTTCTAAGTGTAAATGTGAGAAGAGTAAGGTGAAAAGGTCCAAAAATATATAAAAGATAGCAAAAGAGAGTTTTTGATGATTGAATACGATATTTTAGAAGTCAAATGGTGATAAGGAATGAAGATTCAAGCAATAGATAGTAGGATTTATAGGTTAGAGCTAAAGTTTCTCTCTAAAAATACATGATCCAATTTCAAAAGATGATATATCCTAATCTACAAAGATTTTTATCATTATTCTTGTGAAAAAATGTAGATATTTGATCTAGTTTCCAACCGTTCAAAACGGCTCGTCGTTTCAACTCACCTACACAAAGTTATGGTATTTTTACTAGACACTGCCATAGATGCATGCCCATATGCGCGCCCACGTTCGCTTGCGGGAAGCTTAATATAGACCTATTTTTGTAATTTTTAAGCATTTTCCTTGACCTATATAAAGCCTAAGCTCGTCTCAAATTAGGTATCTCAATTTTTGGAGCAACGTTTTAGAGAAGAAGGCAAGGAAACAACTGAGACTTTGAAATACTCCCTCAAAATCATTCAATACGAAAGTTTATTTGAATTCGTGGGTTGTAAAATTTTCTTCTCCTCTTAATACTCTTGTGATGAACAATTTCTCCATTATGGAGTAGTCCTTCTTAAGGTTATTGACAGATGTTGTGACTTAACTATTAATTGAGGATGTGATTTTTGTTAGTTGCTTGAATTCGTTGAGAGAGTTTTGAATTGAATTACAAAATTATTTGTGCTTTCACTTTAATTGGAAGAGAAGTGTTGTTGCAAATTTCGTTGTGTTATCTTGTTTGGGTAAATTTCACAACTCTCATAGGCAATCGAAAGAGCTTATAGAGTTATCAATTAACCCAATATCGATGAATAGTTGAGAGACGTTCTTCGTAAGACGATTCATTCAACGTTTTCTTGCATATGTTCATAGCACTTGTCATTAGGTTGTTTAATGGACTCTCATTTATTCTGAAGAAGAATTTGAGTCCTTAAGATAATCTAATCATTTATTGAAATTGAAAGAGTCAATGAAACTTAAGAGTGAACTTAGCACAAAGTTGTATCTCGAATAATAGTCGAGCATATATCTTGTCAAAGCCCTTATTTCCCTCATTGATATTCAATTATTGCTACTTAGCTACCCAATTTTAATTATCCGTTCGTAATTGATAAAATTAGTGTTACTCTTAGTTCTTTAATAATTCAAAATCAAAGGTTTATTTTTCCTAAATAGTGTTAAGCTGAAGATTTATTTGAACATTATTTAAACTAATTCCTGTGGAGACAATTTAATAACTATACTATCTTTGACTAACGAGCCTAAATTTTATACATCGATTTTGCGCTCGCCAGATCACCGGTGGAAGTAGCTGGAATATGTTTGTCAGCCTTTGGAACCCAAGTTGGTACCATTTTTTGAGGTTCCCTTCTCTTTTTTGGTAGGCCAGTTTATTTTGGTTCCTCCTCCTTCAATTCTCGTAGCTTTTGTATAGCACAATTATTCCCTATCACTAAACAAGCTTCACAATACTTTGGTTTCCATTCAAAAATCACTATTTGCTGAAATGTCTTCCCTGAGGGATCCATCGTAATTATTTTAGATGGCAGAGGTTTGGTGGCATTAACTTCTATAAGCATTCCAGCAAAAGAGATTCTAGTTTGCTTTGTCGTGCACTCATCTGCATATTTAGGTACACGAATAGCACTCGCTATCCTTCTCAGTAAGTCCGACTGCAGCAGCTCATGGGCAGGCTTGGGAGGTAGTTCTGTGAGGAACTCTTCATTAAAAATTTAAAATCAAATTCTAGAGTCCATTCCTTTAAGATCAAAGGTCTGTTGTTAATATTGCAAGGGCCCACAAATAGAATTTTATTCAGATCTGTACTTTGGAAAATTTAATAACATAGTAGCCTTCCTCGTGATAATAGATTTTAGGTTCCGCAATAATTTCCACTTTTTCTTCACATATTTCTTCATATAGTTATAGCTAGGTGTTGCTCTTATCACATATACTATTAATGCAGACTTCCATTTATCAATTTCCTTGTCTGTTTTTTCTTTGTCAAGCTTTATCGTTACATTTCCTTCAACCAATTCCGGAGGTATATAATCAAGAGACATACTATTGGTTGCAGATCGATTGCGAGTGAATAGTCCAGGCCAAGTGGGTCTTTCATTGCCGATGCAGAATTCCTCAGTGCTGATACCTTGGTCTTTGGAACATTTATGCTTGTGGCCCTTCAATTCCTGTCAGTTATGCCTTTGGATCTCCACTGAGGTTTAATTTCTTAATCCCAATGGTCAATTTAGCTACCGACACCAAGGGTGAAAGTGACGGGGATTGTGTCGCTGCTGGTGTTACAATTCTCTGTTCATTCCTAGCACTGACTGAGCTTCCCACTGTTACGATTGCTTGTATTTTCGATCGACCTCGCCCTCTGGCCATGGATACCACCATCAGCGTAGGTTAGCTTAACGTGCACCGAGAGACATATGCTAGAGAGAGGATTGACAGTGTTCGTGTCCTGAATTCCTATTCAAAAATAAGCATAAATTCAGGAACTTGGGCCAAAGCCTACACTCTTCTGGTGGGCTTTTGTAAAGGTGTTTACCTAGTATTGCATATGTTTCCATTTTACTCAATGCTTCTTGTTTACACACCCTTTCGTGGAATACTTGTGTCTCATCTTCTTCATTTATTAATTTTATTTCCTTTTGGGTTGACCCACATGGGTGCCCAAACTTATTTCTTAAAAGAAAGACATATTGAAAATCACTTGTTCTAATAAATTGTTAAGCTTGTAATTTTTTCTGCCTCTGGATGTGCAGTGAGACAATCTTGTACTTAATTCTCTGAGCCTAAATTTAAAACAATTAGTCTCTTTGAACAGATGAAAGCAAGATATAATTGTTAATGCGTAGACAAGTTATAGAATCTGTCTCTAACAGAAGTCTCGTAATTATATATGGTAAAAGGAAGAACGAAGAGGAAAAGGATAAATTAAAAAGGAATAGCAACAAAATGAGGCCTACTTGAATATGTGCGATGTGCAACTCACCACTCCAGGCTAGGGCCATATGTAAAATATCTTATCTGAAGACCATTAGCCAGAATATATTTGTAGAAAAGCTAGCTTTTTCTTTAGTGCTCATAGATGTCAGTAAAGCAAACCTATAATCTTAACTTGCAGGGGCGGCTCCAAGGTAAGACAGATAAAGCCTGCCCAAGATTATAAAATTCTATATTAGTATTATATGAATAATACGATTATTATTAAGAAAAAAAAAACACTTTTTTATATTTTAAAATTTTGATTGAGGCTGTATGATTGAGTAAGTAAATAACAATAATTTTTTTTTCATAAAATTAAATAGTATATTTACCTTCTCTCTCATTAAATAGTGCATTTTTAGTGTTTGCTGATATCTTTCTAATTTCAACTCATATTCTCTTAATTAGCTATCTTTTTTTATCATATTTGATTGATCCATATATCAGAAATCAAGTTCTTTTGCATTTTATGTTTTTTAACAAAGAAATTCTCAAAGGTAATGACGCAAGATTCGAACTCGATGGAGCCCACGCTTCTATCATTTTCCACTTAAATATTATACTTTTGTATGGAGAGAGTTCGAAAAAGTGATGTGAGCCTAACCTGCACATTACGCGTTGCGTTCTAACCACTAGATCAAAGTCATGTGAGTTTCTTTTGTTGTTTATTATTATATGGATTGTATGAAAATTCAAGAGTCTTTTAATATATTTTGGCTTTAGGCTACAAAATTTGTTGAGCCGCCAATATTGGTAGCTTGTCACAACATTCGGTTCCTCTTACAAATTGTATTCTCTTTCTTTCTTTTTTCAATATTTGTTTTTGTTAAACTCTCTATGAAATGGTAAGTCATGATCAATCTACGTATACTTACAAAATATTAGTGCAGCGACAGTGTAGGGCATCGAATTGGCTACAAAACCTTGATATATTGTTTGAGATTTGAAAAATAAAAACATAGGAATAATACATGAGTTACTCCCTAAACTTGTCTCGGAAAATTATTTACATATTCTAACTTTACTAGTATCTTTTTACCGTTCCTCCTATTCTAACTCAAAGTAGAATTAATACCACCCTGAGAGCTGATGTGGCAGATCGAGAGAGCTGTTTTCATTCTCCTTAAACGAGTGAAAGGGAAAAACAAGTGAAAAATAGATTAATTTAAGGCATGTGTTATTTTACACAACTGACTAGACTAATTTTTGGCGGGCCTCTTTTCTTTTTCTCTTCCTTCCCCTCAATCTTCTATCTTCACATGTAAAAACCACTGTGGTGCCTCCAAAGACTCCACCTTTGCAGGTTTTCCAACTCCAAGACAAACCTTATTTGGTTGAAATTACGGGTAATAACACATGATGCCCAAACACTTTTGTGTCTCCTATTTCAATTCATTAAACAAAATCACATATTGGGTTTGCAGTCTCTATATATCCAAAAGTGGTCCACAAAATTTTCATGGTAACAAATAAATTTGCAAGGTATAAATTTGTGTTTATGAATATATCCTTTGACACAGCTTAAGCACGAATTTCCCACATTACTAGATTCCTCTGGATTCAAAACTCTTGTCCAAAATAATAGGAAGGCTGTCATAGCAATCGATCTTGCTATGTTTGAAAAATACTAGTCTTTCGGAACGTGCGTTGCACGCTTATTTCACTTTATTATTATAAAATTCATTTTGCAAAATGTTGAATTTTAATTATATAAATGTTTTAAGAATTCTTATTTGAGTTATAAAACCATGTAGACATATTTATTTGCTAATCAATGTTTGTTTTACAATCGTCTGTTAGGTGTTTGGCATAATTTTCTTACCATATTTGATTTTTCTATTTGTTGAAGGAAAAGACAATATAATTACCTTAATTGAGTTTTCCTTTTTGTAGAAGGAAATTATAATTCTCCTATACTTGGTTAGTCCTTTTTCTTGTAGGAAAATGTTTGGAGTTCTATAAATTGAAGATCCGTCCTTCTCATTTAGTAGCATCCACAATGTAGCCATAGGGGCTTGAGAGTAGTGTTTAGGGGGAGAACTTTATGGAACAAGTGTTAGTGTGTCCCTTGTGTTTGCCTCTTCGTGAGGTTGTTCTCTCGATATTTTGTACTCTCTTTTTATATAGTAGATTGCTCATCTCCGCGGTGGACGTAGGTCAGTTGACCGAACCACGTTAAATGTTTGTGTCTCTTTTGGTATATTTCTCCTTTGTTGTATTATTTTATCGTCGCTCAAGGTTTGCTTTGCTAGCTTCCGTATGACACCTGATTTTTACGGTCCTAACATTGTCTCCATTATTCAACATAAAAAGTTACGTTCTGCTTGCTTTCTTTTTATAATTAATTACATAAAATGGTTTAACTGAGATAATTAAGTAAAAACTATTAGTTCCTTTTAATCCAAAGAGATAGCATCTCTGCAAGCCGACATCATATTGAAATTAAGACCATCTACCTTTATATAGTTGCAGGATATGAAGATTAGATTATCTCATGATTTAATGTATTAGAATCATAAGTGGCACAATATTCAAAATACCGATAGCAACAAGAGTGAGAATAAGGATGAAACTTTTTACAAATACATGTTTGAAAAAGACGCTAAAATCACATTTCGTGACAAAAACAATAAGCAAAGGCTCGAAAACACATCAAGTAAGAAAATTAAGGCTAACAAAATATTTAACCCAAAAAGAATATTTACTGACCTATAGAATGTATTAGTAACTGCAAAAAGTAAAGATAAAAATTATATCAACTGTAAAAGGCATGAAACCTCATGCAAATAACTAAAATAAGGCTACAACACAAACAAAAGAATTGGTAAGTTATAGAAATCAAATAATTGTGAAGTCAAGTTACCAACAACAAAACTGTTGCTAAAAGAAATCTAATATTTTAGAGGTTCACGACCAAAAAAATCAAGAAGTATTCCCTCAATCCGAATTTATGTGATATTCTTTTTTTTAGTTAGTCATAAGAAATGAAATCTTTTTATATTTAGTAACGATTTAACTTTAAACTTTTTATTACCCTTAGTGAGATGATCAATTTAGAAGCCACAAAAATTCTTATAGCTTATATTAGACCGTAAATTTCAAAAGTATTTCTTATTTTATTAAAATCAATGCTCAATTAAACACCTTCATAAAAATAACTAAAATAATGCGGAAAAATAAAACTCCAGAACAAAAATATTGCTATGAAATAAAAGTAAATGAAGATACCAAAAAATAATATTTGTGANGAAAATACCACACCATAGCCTAATAGAATCTGGTGTCACGAATATGAGCCTCTAATACAGAATATCCATCTATTTCAAGTTTGTCTAGGAAAAATACGGAATAAAAGATAGAGATAGAGGGGAGAGATCAAGGTTGCGAACGCCATGCAGCTACCTCAATACTCCCGGATACTGCCTGCTCAGCTAAACAATTCCTCACTTAGCCTGTGGTGTACATGGATCTGCACGCAAGGTGCATTGAGTAATGTGAGTACTCCGATTCAGTGAGTAATAAACATAAATAAAGGCTGAGAATAAGAAATCATGGAAAAATACAAAGTAAA